AATCTCAAACTCTTGGGCTTAAGCAATTCTCTTGCCTCAGCCTCCTGAGTAGCTGAGACTACAGGCACCCGCCACAATGCCTGGCTATTTTTAGAGAAGAGGTCTCACTCTGGCTCAGGCTGGTCTCAAACCTGTGAGCTCAGGCAATCCACCCACTTCAGCCTCCCAGAGTGCTAGTATTACAGGCGTGAGCCACTGTGCCCAACCCACCCCCATCACTTCTTGACAGGAAAGGGTTAAGAGGGACAGAGTCTAAAAATAAAAAATAAAAATAAGGAGAAATCAGGGAAGTTTTCTGTGAGTAGGCAACACTGGAGGTGAAGGAGTGGAGGGAGGGAGCTATGCAAATACCTAGTGGAGGTGGAGTGGGAAGAACTCCAGGGAAAGGGAATGGCAAGTACAAAGACCCCGAGGTAGGAACGTGCCTTCTATGTTCAAGAAACAGCAGGGAGGTCTGTGTAGCTGCAACAGAGTGAGCAAGAGGGAGATAGAGACAGAAGAGGTGGGGGCGATGGTGGGGCTGGTTGTGGAATACGTCCACAGAGGGGATGGAATGGGAGCATGAGAGGACTGAAGGAAGAGGTGAGACAGAATCATAGGGCTACCTGCCTGATAGGCCATGGCTCCTATTTCCAGAGCTTACCCACCTGAGACCCACCATTCTTCCTGACATGCAGCTGCATTGACCCTGACCAGGAAGGAAGCAAAATCTCAGCACCACGGACAGAACCTCTACCCAACCTTGCAGGCTCTGTCCCTGGTTTGATGATGAGGACAGGCCGAGAATGGCAGGAGAAGTTTCTGGTCCTGCTGCAGAGGTTTCTGGTGGCAGCCCTGGGCTTGACCTCACTCCCACTCCAGGATGGATGAACTTAGGTGGAGAAGCCTATACTTGCTTATTCAAAAACCTTCTCAATATGCCCTGTGGGTCTCACAGCATCTCATCAACTGGACCAAAAAAGAGCTCTGGTTTAGAATGTAAGCCAAAACATGATCATCCTCTCTACTCAAAGCCCCCTCATGGTTCCCCCTGATGCTCTAGTTAAAGCCATTCTTTCCCCAATGCCTCAGGACCTTTGCATTTGCTGGCATCTCCACCTGGAACGTTCTTCCTTTGAATATGTACATAAATCACTCCCTGACCTCCTACAAGCCTTTTCTCAATTGTACCTTCCCAGTTAAGCCTGTTTGACCACCACATTTAAAAGTGGAAAAAACAAAACAAAACAAAACTGGCCTGCCCAACATCCCTTGGTAAAATTTTTTTCACATATACTTATCATCTTCTCATACACTGCTTAAATTCCTCACTATGCCAGTGGCCATTATTTATCTCCATCACTAGAATATCAGCTCCACCACAACAGAGACTTTGTTGTCTGTTCACTGTGGGGTCTGGAGTCCCCATGACTAGAACAGGCCCTGGTACACAACAAATGTTTGCTATATGAATGAACTAATCACTTTAGGATGCCAATAAACTAAGGACTGACACTCCCCAGCCACTTACTTCCCTGCTCCTTACTCCCAGGTCAAGTTCTTCATGCTGTTAGCTATATTCCCCTGTGAATTCAGTCTATGGCAAGTGTCCTATCAAGAAATGAAGACATAATTCTAAGAAGTGAAAGAAAGGAGAATTTGTGTACATGAGGGATTTGCCAAATGTCTGCATCTCTTATCACTACAGAATGTTCTAATTCATCCCACATTGATAAGCACCAACTTTGTGTTAGGTTCTCTCCTAGAAGCAGTGATAAAACAGGCAAAGACCTAAACCACAGGAAGCTGACATTCTAGTATGAAGAAATGCTACAAGATAATATGTAACAGGCTTGGTACCCATAGCACAGTGGTTACGGTGTCAGGCACATACACTAAGGCTGGTGGGTCCGAACCTGGCCTGGACCAGCTAAACAACAATGGCAACTGCAACAACAACAAAAATAGCCAGGCATTGTGGCGGGCACCTGTAGTCCCAGCTACTTGGGAGGCTGAGGCAAGAGAATCAGTTAAGCCCAAGAGTTTGAGGTTGCTGTGAGCTGGGACACCATGGCACTCTATTGAGGGCGACATAGTGAGACTCTGTCTCAAAAAAAAAAAAAAAGATAATATATAACACTGGAAATGATGTTATTTGAAGAGAAACAAAAACAGATAAAAGTTAAAATTTGAAAGGGAAGATGATCAGGGAAAGCCTGTCTGAGTAGGTGATCTTTGACCAAAGACCTAGGAGAGTGACAAAAATGAGCCAAAGGAGCTGGATATGGTAGCTTATGTCTGTAATCCCAGCATTTGGGGGGGTTAAGGTGGGAGGATTTCTTTAAGTCAGGAGTTCGAGACCAGCCTGGGGAAACATAGCAAGACCATACCATTAGAAAGAAAAGAAAAGAAAAGAAAGAAGGAAGGAGGGTTTGGGGGAGCTGACTGCTATAGGCATGGGAACAGCAAGAGCAAAGGACTTGAGGTGGAGCTGTTTTCAGCACACTCCCCTGTATGTAACTGTGTTGGGCCATATGATGTGAGAGTCACTACTGGGTGTTTGTACATCTGCAGTGTTGTAATGTGAGGTAAACCATAGGTTATGTATCTGCTGGAGGGATGCTGAGGTGGTGTGTTTGACCATGCAGTGTAATGGTGTGCCTCACTGCGTGTCTGTGTGTGCATGTGGTGGCAATGACAGCTATATCCCAGTGTGTTCTGGTGTGTGCTGTGCAAGAGTAGGGATCTATGGGTGTGAATGTGGGACAGAGTGTGTATGGGATGCTTTTGTCAGAGTAGGGTAGGGCAATGGAGATTCTGGGAAGTTCTCTGTGTTGATAGAGATTCTGGAACTGGAATACACGAAGAGATGCCATAGCATGGGTGTGTGTGTAGAGAGGTGTGGGGGTGCCCAGCTGTGTGAGTGGGTGTGCTGGGGATGTTGTGAAGCTGTTTTCTGATGCCAGAGAGAGAGAGAGAGAGAGAGAGAGAGAAAGCTCAGGAAATCTCAGTTCTGCCCTGCTTCTGAGTCTCCAGGCAACAGCACCACTTTGAAGTTACCAGGAGACAAGGTTGCCAGGGCAACACAGGCATGTGTTGCCGGGCGAAGTCTGGGTGAGGACAGCCAGCCAGGGATTCTGATCACTCACGCATTGTTCCTCCCTCACTCCCAGTTCTCCATCAATCCCACTTCCTTCATTCACTGATTTAAGGGACATATATTTGAGAAACTGCAACATACTAGGCACTGTTCTGGGTGCAATAGACAAACGTGAGAAAGACAAGTAAGGTTCTTGCTGTGTCTCTTTCAGTCTTCCAGACCTTGTCTCTTTGTTTCTCTTATTTCTTTCTGTGGCCTGTGGTTCTGCCTTCCTCTATACCAGCAAGATCCAAGAAGCCCCCAAGCCAACGAGGAAGTAAAGTTGCTCTCAGAGACGGCAATTGGTAAGCACTTAGCTCAGCTGACACCAGCAAATCCACACACGGACACATGCCCATCACTCTATTTCACAAGTGCCCCATTTTGCAGGTGTGCTAAAGTGAGATACGAGACTTTAAAGTATTGTCAATGGTTTGGGCCTGCTCCCTTCCAAATCTCAACCTTCATATTTTTTTGATTAGCTCACAAAAACAGTGTTTGTGCCGCTTTTGCCAGCAGCAGCTTCCCTCAACGCTGGGAACGTCTCATCCACCTTAAACGCCTCGGTTTCCTCCTGGCTCAGACCAGCGGCTGTAAGCCTTTGCTCATTCGCCAGAGGAAAAGCTAGCCAATCTAATTTTGATGGACAGATCCAGGGACCAATGAAGAAATTAAATGTATTGTAACCAATGAGGCCTCCCCTCCGGCGGGATTAAGGCAAGAAATGCGCCACCGATTGGACGGACAGAGATATACGTTGCTAATGGCGGAGACGCTGAGGCGGGTGCTAAGTCGCGGTAGCGCGGCCTGTTCTGGAGAGGAGAACGCGGCTGATGTAGGACCGCCTTTGTTACTGCTTGGCGCTCCGGGCTCTGGAAAAACAGCGCTGCTCTTCGCAGCGGCCCTGGAGGCGGCGGGGGAGGGCCGAGGCCCAGTCGTCTTTCTGACCCGTACGCCTCTTCAAAGACTCCCCTGTGGTACCCGAGCTGCGCTCGACCCGATGCGACTCCAGGTAACGACGGAGCGGGAGCAGAGGCGTACCAGCCAGTGCTGGGGCGGTTCGCGGATTGAGTGACAGGCAAGCAGACCAATGGTAGGGACGGGGGCAGAGCGCACCTGATGCGGCAGAATCAGGAATGCGTGAGGGGTGGGCCCAGGTGGAGTTTAGATAAGATTGAGATGGCGAAATTAGGTAAAGGCAGTGCGGGTGGAGTTGGGGCGAACGAGAGTTGCAGCTAACTAAGCTTGAGTCTAGTCTATACCGGGGATGGGATCAGAATGGGAGAAGGTTTTGCGAGGAAACATTACTCCTGAGATTTGACAAAAGAACCATGACTTCCCCTCAGTACCTGGTAGTGAGTAGTACTGATAAGAGGGGTGAATATAAGAATATTTGACCGCTCTGTGCTGCATCATCCTGGAACCAGCTGCCTGGGGAGTGAGAATATCGTCCAGGAAATTATGCAAAGAAACAGGATTGCCATTGCGGTGAGTTTGGCTTTTTGTGCAGACTCTGGCCCAGCTCTTCTTTTCCTCCTTCTAGAAGATCCGCTTCCAGTATCCACCCTCAACCCGAGAACTTTTCCGGTTCCTGTGCTCGGCCCATGAGTCCTCAGGGCCAGCCCCCTCCCTTCTGCTTCTGGACGGCCTGGAGGAGTACCTAGCAGAAGATACGGGGCCTGACGAATCCTCCTACCTGGCTGCCCTGCTTCTGGACACAGCTGCCCACTTCAGTGACCGGATTGGGCCTGACCGGGACTGTGGCCTCGCGGTGGCCTTCCAGACTCAGGAGGAGCCTGATAGTGGGGATTCCCTGCATCTGGCACTTCTGCAGCGGTATTTTCCTGCCAGGTGCTGGCTACAGCCAGATGCATCAGATCCAGGAGAGCACCGCATTCGGGCCTGCCTGGAGCCAGGCGGCCTGGGCCCCAGGACAGAGTGGTGGGTGACTTTTCCACCACGTGGAGAGATGACAGTCACCCCCTGGCACACACGGGCTGGTGACCCCAGCTCAGACAAAGGTTCAAGATCTGAAGGGCACCCCTGAGCTTTGGTGTGTGACAACTTTTACATGCCTTAGTTTCTCGTGGCTGGAATATTTACCTCAGAGACATGTACAAATTCAAAGACCTAAAGAATGTAAAGTGCTTTTTCTTATTAAAACACAGTGCTACCATGTATATATAATGCCCAGTGAACGTGTTTTGTTATTTTAAACTTAGTTTCATGATAAATGTAATCTTCTAAGACTTCTCTTTCTCCTCAACATTGTTACAAAGATTCAGCCACATTTTTTCCATTCATTCCTTTTCCCTTATTGCTTATTCCATGAATGATTATACCCCAATTTATTCATCAGATTAACTTACTTAACTGCTGTGAACATTCTTGCACACATGTCCTGGTACATGTGTGTTTTTAGGGCATATACCTAGAAGTAGAACTGGGGAGAATAAGGCATGCATATATTCAGCTTTCTTAGGTTATGCCAAACTTTTGCTGGGAGGAGTGGAGACAGGGTCTTCCTCTGTCCCCCAAGCTGCAGTGCAGTGACCTGTTAATAGCCTTGAACTCATGAGCTTGGATAATCCTCCTGCCTTAGCATCTCAAGTATCTGGGATTACAGGTGTGCACTACTATACCTGGCTAATTTTATTTTTAGTTTTTTGTAGAGATAGGATCTTGCTATGTTGTCTTGAACTTGTGACCTTAAGTAATCCTCTGGTATTGGCCTCTAAAGTGCTGAGATTACAGGCATAAGCCACACATCTGTCCATATGCCATACTTTTTCAAAGTAGTTTAAACTAGAATTCTCACTGAGTCACTTGATGACACTTAGTGTCATCAGAGTGTTTTCTTAAAACATGATCTGGGCTTGGCGCCTGTGGCTCAAGTGGCTAAGGTGCCAGCCACATACACATAAGGTGGCGGGTTCAAATCTAGACTGGCCCGCCAAACAACAATGACAGCTGCAACCAAAAAATAGCTGGGCGTTGTGGCGGGTGCTTGTGGTCCCAGCTATGTGGGAGGCTGAGGCAGGAGACTGGCTTGAGCCCAGGAGTTGGAGGTTGCTGTGAGCTGTGATGCCATGGTACTCTACCCAGGGGCACAGCTTGAGGCTCTGTCTAAAAAAAAAAAATACATGATCTGAATCAGAATAATACCCTATGAACTGTTATTAGTGGCATAGAATAGCTAGAGACTCTCTAGCTTTCTTTTCCCTGGGTGTACAAGTAAACTACATTTCCTGGGCTCTCATGATTCTATGGGATCGTGTAACTATTTATGACCAATGAAATTTGAGAAAAAGTGATTTAAATACCATTTCTAGGCTAAATCCCTAAAATGGCCTGTGGAATATTCATTTTCTCTTTGCTTGTTGACTGGCAGAATATAGAAGTTTCATCTAAAGGAAGATATAGCTACATACTGGAAGAATCTGGATCTCTGATTCATCCCAGAGATGGGTGCCCATCTGTTTGACTTGAGATGAGAGAGAAACTACTTAATGTCTTTTTTTTTTTTTTTTTGAGACAGAGCCTCAAGCTGTCCCCCTGGGTAGAGTGCCATGGCATTACAGCTCACAGCAACCTCCAACTCCTGGGCTCAAGCGAGTCTCTTGCCTCCGCCTCCCAAGTAGCTGGGACCACAGGCGCCCGCCACAACGCCCGGCTATTTTTTGGTTGCAGCCGTCATTGTTGTTTGGCGGGTCCGGGCTGGGGATTCGAACCCGCCACCTTAGGTGTACGTGGCTGGCGCCTTAGCCGGTTGAGCTATAGGCGCTGAGCCTACTTAATGTCTTAAGCCATTAACATTTAGGGTTATTTGTTCTGGCAGCTACTGTAACTTACACTGATTATTTAACTTTATTACTGATTAGTATTCAGATTGCCAGGTCTAAAATTTCAGACTGAGCTCAGTGACTTTAACTGCTGTCCTATGGCCTAGGCCCAGGGAAAGGTGGAGCTAAAAGGGTGTTTATAGAAGTAATGGTAGAAAAACTTACATATACCTGTGTGTATATATATATATATTTTTCTTTTCTTTAGAAACTATACATATTTACAAATACTGCAAGTTTGTGATTACCTGAACAGGGCCCTAGCCCTGAAGGAGGACTTGCTGTCATGTTCAGTAAGTCTTGAGCTTGCACTGGCACTTGGGGTCATATTTAATATCCAAGTGTCTGCATGCTGGTGTCCTAAGAGCAGATCACATAGCTAGGGTGTGGAGCCTCAGGGGCTGAAACAAGGCTGTTCTCATAAGGGTTAGAGCAGGGGCCATCTGATGAGTCCCCTTGTGCTCCCTGGGAGCTCCCTGAGCTGTAGTCAGTTGAGATGCCAGAGTCAGACACCACAAGGTACAGGTACTTTAGGTGGGGTGGGGTGGGGGGCAGCTCAGAGGGCAGTGCCTGAGGGCGCAAAAGCTGAGAGCTAGGGTCCACGATGGTATACTCAAAGCTAGCAGCCGAGGCCCCTTCAGGGTTGGGCTTTAAGGCTAAGGCAGATGAGCAGGAGGATGCTTCTGAGCCTTCTTCCATGGCTACTATGTCCACACTGGCACCAGGGCCTGGGAGGTCTTCACTGGGTGGGCTCTGAGGCAGCAGCCACTTGTCCAGCACCAGGTAGGTGTCGTGGGCATGCTTACTGCCCACATGCTTCAGCAGGGGCCCCTCATCATCTGCCCCTGGCTCCACTGCCTGTGTCACCCCCCAGGAGCACTCAGAGAGGATTTCCAAGGGGGCAGGTGGATCCTCTGTAAAGGGCGTGCAGGGACTCCACCACACGCAGCCATCATTCTGATACAGCCACAGCTGAAGAAACAGCACCAGCCTGCTCAGAGGCCTGGGGTTTGGCCACAAGAAGCAGGGCAGCCCCAGGCCCTAAGGGGACAACCAGGCCACATACCTGGAAGTTACCCTTGTGGGTGGTGAAGAGGCCCTCAAACTCACTTTCGGGGCTTGGGATACCAGGCCAGAACTTCTGCTTCAGAGCCCTGTTGAAGCCAATAGATACAGGTACATAGACATGAGTCACTGAACACGTACCCATACCCCCTTAGCACCCAGTCACAGCAGCCCAGGAACTCCTGGTCCCTGAGATCACAACAGAGGAAGAAGGGTGCATCAAGGCTGGGCAGTAGGTGCTTGGTCTGAAACATCAGCAAGGCCCCATAGAAGGGTAATTGGAACAGGGTTTTGAAGGCTGCATAGGAATTCAATATATTCTGACTCATACTCCCTCTAAGCCTTGCCTATGCTTTGTCTGTAGATCCGTGATGTCAGCTCTCTCATCACTCCTTTCTATGATTTCCCCAAGGCATTCAGAATAAAATCCAAACTCTGCTCCAAAACCCTGCAGAATGCCCTGTCATCTCCATCACTTTATAATCTGCCACTCTGTGCAACACACTGCTCTAGCTGTGTGACTCTAGCAATATGACTCTAGCAATATGACTTTTCTTGCTTGAATGTTCCAAATTCATTCCCCCCTCAGGGCCTTTGCACTTGCTATTTCTTTTCACTTTTCATATGACTGCTTCCTTCTAACCTTCAGGTTTCTGTTCTGATGTCACTTCCTTCCAGGGAACTTCCCTGACCTTCTGGTCCTGTCCCCATCCCCTGTTTGTTTTTGTGATATCACTTATCACAATATGTAATCAAATATTTTCTGGTTCCTTGCTTGTTGACTTAACTATGAGATCTACAAGGTCAGGGACTTGTGGTCAGGGTCTGGCTTGTTCTTCACTTCCTTTCCAGTGCCTAGCACATACTTGGCACTCAATGTATTTTCCAAGCAAGTAAATGAATAGCGTCATTAGAAACAACTAGAAGATTGCTTAGTGGACAAGGGAGGAAGGGCATTCCAGGAAGAAGGAACAATAGGTGCAGAGGCTTTGGGGTGTGAAACAAATAGTGTGTACTTGGAAATACAGCTACCGCCAAATGGCTGATCAGATCATAAGGTGTCTGAGGAACTTAACAAAAGATGTAAGGCAGTATTCAGGGGCTTCACTCTTTCCATTAAATCCATCTGGTTGATTTTACAAAGTTGATGACATTGGGTAAAGGAACTACCCAAGAAACCCCAAAAGTGGCAACTGCTAATGTAGAAGGAAAACCAAGTGAACGACCCCAAGAGCTGAAAATTTTAACAGGAGTCTGGGTCTGTTCTGGCATGCATCCCTGCCCAGCCATTGACTCTTCACTGTGTGACCTTGAGCAAGTGCTGGTCCCTCTCTGAACCTAAATTTCCATGGTAAAAGAGGGTCATCCGTGGGGAGGAGTCTGAGACAGGTGCCCAATAGGGGGCTCACCGGTGGTGTGAGCGCAGGGTGAGCACGGCCAGCAGCAGCAGGATGAGCGCGAGGATGAGCGAGAGCGTCAGGATGAGGGGGTCCAGGTCTGGGAGACCGGGAGTTGATCAGGGCGGTAGGTTTGCCCAGTCTTTCTCCCCTGCTCCTCCTGCACCCTGCCTGGGACCTCACCACTAGCTGTCAGCAGCGACGCAGGCTCTGACCAGGCGCTCCAGAAGCCTCCGAATGTCGGTTCGGCCATGCGCGCACGGACAGCGAAGGTATAGCGTGTCTGGCCCCGCAGGTTGCTCAACACGCATTCAGTGCGGCCTTCCAGAATCTCCACCTAGGAGCAGGACCCAGTTAAGGGCGGGGACAGAGGCGGGGCGGAGTAAGTAGAGACTAACACTTGAGGGCGGGCTCTGCCAGGACAAAGCCAATCAGGGAGAGGAAGAACAAGGGGAAGGCCAAAACGTTGCACTGAGACCAAAGAGAATAGGGGCTTGGTTAGTGAAGTCTCAGGGTCCATCAGGGCAAAAATCCCAGGTAGCAGGTGGCCGGACCTGGACTATTTAAACGCCGGACCAGGGCACACAGGAGCCAGATCCTGGAGGGTGAGAGGGGATGGGGCTCCGGCAGATTGCGGAGGCGTTGGGAAAGAGGCTTTGTGGATCGGCTTGGAGATGCCTTGGGCATCAGAACAATGGGACAAGGTGGTATGGGCCGTCAGGGGCGGCATCTCGAGAGGCCAGGCCATGGGGACTAAGTTGCAGTCAGTGGAGTTTAAAAGACTAGGCGGGAAGAACAGGCCTCACCCTCTGAGCAACCCCCGCGCCTTTGCCAGCGGAGACGTCCACCTCGTAGCGGATGTGGGTTGTCATAGGTGCTCCAGGCGGCGGGAGCCAGCGCAGCACCACGTGGCCGCCCTCGTCTCCCAGCCTCGCTAGCAGTCCCACGGGGGCGTCCAGGAGCACTGCCGAGGTGAAGGGAGGTTGGTCAGGTGGGCGAAGACTGAGACTCCCTACCATGACCACTCTCCAATTCCCCACGTGCTTACCCACTTCATTGACGTGGATGGTACGGCGATAGCGCGGAGTGACCGAGGAGGCTGCTGTGACCAGCAACTCTAGGGGCACGAAGCTGGACGTGTCTGCCGTAGGCAGCGAGCACCAGAAGCGCACCATGCCACCAGCCGTGGGCGCCTGGTGCAGGTGACACGGCTTCCACGGCTCACCTCTGTGTGCCCAGGGACCCGGGAAGGAAGGGAGCAAGTTGGGAGGGGAAACCCGGGAGAGTTCGCTTTGCCTGGATCCTGGGGCTTTAGATACTACCACGAGGGGGCATCCCAGTCCCGACGTAGTGATGCCTCAGCCTCTATTTGGAAGGGTTGTTATCCCAGCCTTGAAGTTTGGATCACGTTCCAGTGGTGATCAAGGGAATGTAGCAGCCCCGGCCAATAGTGGGCGTGTCAGTCCTGGCCCGGTAGGCTTCCTACCGGTGACCACGACTGCACTCGTTGTCCGGCCTCAAGCACTGGGCGACATCCGGGACTATGACCCTCGGGAAGTTGTACCCCGCCCGCCCACTCCACACGTGGGGGGTGCCTGTCCCGTCAGACTTACTCGACCTGGTAGGAGAAACTGTAGTTGTTGGGGCCCACCCCAGCGCTTGCAACTTCCTCCCAGAAACACACCAAGTCCTCCAAGCGCTCGGTGAAGCACAGAAGCTCTTCGGGCCTGCGGGCAGCCAGCAAGGCCGCTGGGGAGGAGGACAAAGAGAGAGGGTCGAGGCCGAGCCCTTCCTCTGGCCACAGCCCCTTCCCCCCCGCCTCCGGCTGTCTGTGCGGACTCGATAAGAAAAAGCACAGCTCCGCCCTCTCCCCACCCCCCAGATGGGCCCCTTGAGAGGTCACAGAGGTGATATCCCCCAACTTCCAAGGGCAGATTGCTCGCAGTATTGTCCCCACCCCCGCATGCACACACACACTCCCATCCCGCGGCGGGCTGAGTTGGGCGCAGCCCTCAAGACCTCGGAGTCAGGGTGCTAGCCCCGCCCCAGCCCTGGACATGCACTCCCAGGGGTGTGCGCAGAGGAGGCGTGGACCCTATCTGCCCTAGCAGGCTCCCAGCCACCCGATAGCGCCAACCGTGTTCCCCTTCCTCGACAGAGCGGAGCAAGGGATCTGGGGCCCGCATACAAACCGTGTTTACAAGTCACTTGATGCCCGACCCCTCTGACTGGGACCCTGGCTTTATCCTCTCTCCCCCATTGGCGGGTCTGCTGGGTCCCCTCTCCTCAGGGACATGAGCCCCATGAGCCCTTTAGTAGGTCCCAGACCCTCTGAAAGGATTAAAAGAGGAACCTTAAGTCCCTCTCTAGCTTCTCCACGAGGAGATTTAGACCCCAGCATACCCGCCTGCTTGGCCCCCAAGATCCAGTCCGGAGGTTCAGGACCGGGTACGGTCCCCAGGATCCCGGCTGGGAGTTCAGGCCCCAAGCATTGCCCTTCAGTCCTCAGTGTGGGGGTCCACACAGAGCTGCATCCTTACCTTTGCTCCCAAACTTAGGGTCTGGGAGGTTGGGTGGGGGTGCCCAGGCGGCCCCAGCCAGCAAGAGACAGAGGGAGCCAATCCGGGGCCAGAGAGGCGTCCAGAGGTGGTCCATGAAACAGCCCCCGCCGCTAGGGGCCCAGGGCTCGTGCCCCTCCGTCCCTGCCCTTGGCACAGTCCACAGCTGGGTCAGCAGCTGCCTCCGCCGGACACAGCTGACCTGACCCTTCCCGACCAGGCGCCTCCGAGTGGCAGCTCCCTCCAGTGGGCGGGGCCGGTACTCAGCTTGGGCAGAGATAAGCGCTTGGCGGGAGGGAGCAAGGGACTTTCTGGGCCTAGAGGACACTTGGTGGGGGAGGAGGGAAGCGAGAACATCCCCAGTTCTGCCGTCAGACACATTCTTTTGTTATGTGACCCTGGACAGGTGATTTACCTTATCTGACCTTCAACCTTCTCATCTGTAAAAATCTAGCCTGGTGCGTAACAAATATTCCAAAAACATGTATGTAAACTACTGATATTATCATGCTGATCAGCATCACTTCCCACTCTGGAAATAAGTAAATAATCCTTGTAACGGTTGTGTTTGCACAGTGCAATGGCCAGGCTGCCGTACAGAATGTACAATAGAGTCCTGTGTTTGTATAAATTACTCATCCTGGAGTATAAATTTCATTTATTAATTTTTGAAACAAAATTTGTATATTACTTGTATTTTTATACTCTTGGTATTTTATTTTATTTTATTAATACAAGGAGCATGAAGTTCTTTTCATAATCCAGAAAGTAATTATGAAAAAAAACCCCACAAAAATGGCCTGGCAGGCTCCGAGCCTGTAGCTCAAGCAGCTAAGGGGCCAGCCACATACACCAGAGCTGGCAGGTTAGAATCCAGTAGGGGCCTGCCAAACAACTACAACCAAAAAATGGCCAGGCATCGTGGCAGGTGCCTATAGTCCCAGCTACTTGGGAGGCTGAGGCAAGAGAATCATTTAAGCCCGGGAGTTGGAGGTTGCTTGTGAGCTGTAATCCCACAGCACTCTACCCAGGGTGACAGCTTGAGGCTCTGTCTCAAAAAAAAAAAAAAAAAGCTAGGCACAATGGCTCACACCTGTAACTCTAGCACTGTGAAAGGCAGAGGCGGGAGGATTGCTCCAGCTCGGGAGTTCAGATCCTCAGCAAGAGCTAGACCCTGTCTCTATCAAAAATAGAAAAATTAGCCAGGTGCTGTGGCTGGTGGCTGTAGTCCCAGCTAATGGTGAGGCTGAGGCAGGAGGATCTCTAGAACCCAGGAGTTTGAGGTTGCTATGAGCTGCACTGATGCATGCAGTCTAGTTTGAGCATCAGAGAGACTCTATCTCAAACAAAAAAGAAAGTGAAATTATTCCCTTGGGCTAAGCTCATCAAACTATGGCAGTCACCTGCACCTTGTATGTGTCCTAGGGGAGGAGGTAGATTGCTCTTTGGGCTTGCCTTTGGACTGTGTGTTCCTGAGTGGAGCAGAGCCATGCCTCACCAAGAGAGGACTTAGCCCTCACCTAAGAGAGGGTTCTCTCTTAGGGCTTTTAGTTATTTTGTTTTTGGTCATTGTTTTCTATTTTGATAAAAGATGAACATGGCACACAGACACAGAACAAACAAGACTGATTTATGCTTCATAACTTTGGTCATTTGGTCATTGTTTTCATCCACAGCTGTCAGCTTTGATGTCTCCGACAGTTATAGGATTTCTCTGGGGAAAGATCTGAGCCCCAATGACCCAGTCCCTTCTATATTTATGAGATGGAGTTCTCCACCATGGCTTCTACTGTGAATAGAAGGTTTCCAGTTGAATAGCTCCTCACCCCATGGTGATATAAGCCAGGTCCCAAGCTGCCCATGGGGTCTGTGTTCTGGAGTGAGGAGAAGGCTGCCTCAGGTTGGGGAGAGAGATGGGGTGTGCCTTCTCCCATCTTTCTGCCGCAGTATGAAGTCTCCAGGGGCAGATGGACTCATTGCATAGAAGACATTGGCATTGTCAGGGATCAGGAGTTCTGGTCAGAGATGGAGAGATGGTGATAAGACTGCCCAATTTTGTGTCCTCTTCTATTATTCATCCTAAGGCCTGAAAAGCCTTGGGTCCCTCTTTGGCCAGTGCTGAGCAAACCTCATTCTCTTCCCTTAGGGAATATGAACACCTCCCCACTTGAAGGCTGTACAGTGTCATGTTTTTCCCCACCATAAGCGTAGACAACCTTCTACCATTCCCCTACTCCATGGAGTCTAGACAACCTGTACTACAAGTTTGGATTAACTCAGGCCATCCACCCCAGACAACTTCCTGCCCACCCCACTCCTCCTCCACAACCATTTCCCAGCCATGCTTATGCTGCTCTCACCATGAATTTGGACCACTTCCCACTTCCAGCCTGCACAAACTTGTGCCCCTCACACTTGACACTGGAACAGCCTCAAGAATTCTTACTTAATGTCCATGCCCTTCAGTATGAACAACAATCAACCTCTTTGTGTGTGTGTGTGTGTGTGACAGAGTTTCACTTGAGTAAAGTGCTGTAGCATCACAGCTCACAGCAACCTCAAACTCCTGGGCTCAAGCAATTCACTTCCTCAGCCTCCCTAGTAAATGAGACTACAGGCATCTGACACAATGCCAGCTATTTTTAGAGATGGGATCTCACTCTTGCTCAGGCTGGTCTCGAACCCATAAGCTCAGGCAATCCACCCACCTCAGCTTCCCAGAGTGCTAGGATTACAGGCATGATGCACCATGCCCATGCCCAGCCCAACAATGGACTTCTTGCTTCTATCAAAGACTGGAAAACCTCATGCTGCCTTATCCTAAGTTTAATGTCATTTGATCCTCTCCCAGCTCAAGTTCAAGTAACCTCAGGGTTATCATGGAGAGCCTGGACAAATTCCTCATAAATCCCAGCCCAGACCCCCTTTAGTCTCTTACCCCACTCAGGCTGACCCTGAACAACCTCATGAGCTTATAAACTTAAGGTCAGACAGTCTTCTATGCTCCCTTCTCTCATTTGATCCTGCATAATCTCATTGCACCATAAATCCTAGTAAGACAACTTTCAGTGACTCTGTCACACTGAGCCAGGATAACCGGCTGGCCCTACATAACTGAGCCACAGATATTTTAAGGCCTCTTATCTCCACTTTACATCTTTTTTTTT